TTCTTCCAAGAGACCTAACCTTTGGAGTGGTGCTTCAATCTCAGATTATCACTGCTACAAACAGTGGAAGCCCTTTGGTGTGGAGAAGCTGCCAGTCCTGAGAATCCATATATCCTGTTCTAATTTACTTCTATACCACCTCTATTTTTATCCCTAGCTTTTTATTACTGTCTGTTCCCCTGTTGCAGATTTTCCCTCATTTCCTGTCTGGTAAAAGGTTGCCCCCAGACCCAGCGGTGTATTTACCACAAGGCAAACAAGGCATTTGCCTAGGGCGGCATATTTCAGGGGGGTAGCATCGCTCCCCGGAAGAAGGGACAGAAGAAGGGACACATGCGGCATGGGGACTGTCAGGAATGGATTCACCACTGGTGGTGGGACTCACCTGCCGTGTGGGCTGCAGTACCAGGGCTGGCCAGCGGGTGCTCTCAGCAACCAGTAGCTCACTCCTGCAGTCAGCCATCAGCTGAAGCTGATTGCAGGAGGTGTATTTAAGCAGGACCAGTCCTGTGATCAGTGCCTTGGTGTATGTTTCCCATGAGCCCCTGTACCTGGTATCCTGTGTTCCTGTTCTGCTGACTATCCGATTTGTTGCCGACCCTGCCTGATCCTGACCTCTGCTGACTTCTCCTGCTTGATCCCTGGCTTGCCTGACCATCCTTCTGCCTGATCCTCTGTACCGAGCTGCCCGTGAGTTACTGAACCCGGCTTGTGACCCTGACTATTCTCTACCTGCTCCTCCGGTACCTCGCTGCCCGCACGTTGCTGACCTGGCCTGCCTGACTACGCCTGACGCTACCCAGACGATCCATCCATCCATCCCACACGGATCTGTCCCTGTTAACAGGTCTGCCAGCCTCTTCACGTCAGGCTTTCCCATGGTACATACCCTCGGCGGACCCCTCTACCACAGTTTGGTGCACTCAGGGGCCGCAACCTGGTCTCAGTCCTGCGCCAAGTCCATCCCCACCATCAGGGGCTCTGGTGAAAAGGCAGACTGGGGCTTAGACTGCACGCCCTGGGGAATCCCGTTCTGTGGGTACTAGAGGTCCGACCTGGTGGTGCCTGACAGTACCTAACGGCCTGCCTGACAATTCCACCTCTCCAGCCCTGACTACGCCAGTGTTCTGAAGCCTGCTACTTCCCTGTGTCAGTCCACACATTTCTGGTCATACCCAGATCCCTAACAGGGACCAGGTGGGATCTAAGAGAGGCTGCGGGCTGCTTGACGGTGGATGTCATTTGGGTGCAGTGTTGCATGACTGCGCAATTGTCAGTTAAAGTAACGCAGTGCCCTATCACAAAAAATGGCCTGGTCAGGAAGGGGGGTAAATCCTCTTGAGGGCAAGTGGTTAAAGAGGCTCTTCAGTTAAATCTAAAAAAATGCTACTAATACTAATTAGTACAAATACTGTACCTGCTGACTTTTCATAAAAGGACCTTTACCTGATCCTGCTCCATCCTCACTTGGGCTTCACAGCCAATTCCCCACTGCATATGCATGAGCCACTTTGCACTAAACGAATGGTCTGGCGATGTTCCAGGACCTGTGACATGTCCCAGAAGCTTGTGGGCGGGGAGTTGGTAAAACTTGAATAGCATAGATAATCCCAGCAGATGCGAGGAGCGGGTAACTGTGAAAACCTGGTACCCCACTCGCAAAAAAAAAAAAAAAAAAAATCCAAAAGGGGGGGGGGGGGGGGGACATGAAACAGAACTTCCCCTTAAAGTTCTGCTTTAAATGATACATTTTCATAGATATCTATACATCAGACCAAAAAAGAGAGACAACTAAGAAGGAAAGAGGGACAGGGGGATTTTGTTCCAAAAGAGGGACAGTCTCTCCAAATGTGGGAGAGTTGGGAGGTACCTTTTGTCTTTAATTCCTGTGCTCAGGCATTCTTTGCCTTTAGCTTCATAGCTGTGTATCTGCTAAAACACTGCTGCCTCTGACTGGTAGTGTCACAAAAATTGGAGGGAGTTTTGGTGATATAAAAACTGTGCTGCTCACTGTTCTCCCTGATGAAGTGGAAGTTGTTCCTGAGGATCTGCAGTGCAAGGATCTCCCAGTTTTTGCATAGTCACTTTTAATCATCTGCACTTTCTGTACTTCTCTTTCTGCATCTTGATTATTCCTTCATCAGTCATCAGATCTCCAGTCATCAAAGGGGAGTCTCTGATATGAGATGTAAAGCCCCGCTTGTCTACCATGGTGACCACCACCACACAGTACAAAGTGAGAAGTAAAGACCCGGTTGTCTACCATGATGACCACCACCACACAGTACAAAGTGAGAAGTAAAGCCCCGCTTGTCTACCATGATGACCACCACCACACAGTGCAAAGTGAGAAGTAAAGCCCCGCTTGTCTACCATGATGACCACCACCACACAGTGCAAAGTGAGAAGTAAAGCCCCGCTTGTCTACCATGATCTCCTAGATTGTAAGCTCGAAAGAACAGGGCCCTCGATCCCCTCATGTTTTGCATTGTATTGTTATTGTTCTGTCACATGTTCTATCCCCCTTTGTAATGTACAGCGCTGAGCGAACTAGTGGCGCTTTATAAATACTGTATTATAATAATATAATAATAATAATGATGACCACCACCACACAGTGCAAAGTGAGAAGTAAAGCCCCACTTGTCTACCATGATGACCACCACCACACAGTGCAAAGTGAGAAGTAAAGCCCCGCTTGTCTACCATGATGACCACCATCACACAGTGCAGAACAAGGCATGTTAAGTAAGTAATTGGAAACTACAGGGAGACCACAGGTAATGCTGTTGACTAGTCCTTTCCCCTTTGTAAACCCTTTTGGGAACAGCTTCAGCAGTTTAAATGCTATAACCCATAGCAACCATTTCAGTTCAATCTGATAGAAGTACAAGATGGATTCTGGCATGTTGCTACACTAAAAAAAAATTTGAATATCGTTAATATTATGGTTTATATTGCAGGGTTTGACATTTCCTACAAAGTGTCATTATGTAACATTGAAGGTGTAATACTTGTAATATTAATACTAAATCTCTCTAGTATTAGTTCTCCATGCTCAGTTTAGAATATGCTCTTTGGTGGAAGTGGCAAGCTAAAATGATAATATGTTTTTCCTCCTTTACTGTACAGCATCCACCAGGGGATCTACATACATATATATCCATTCATATATACATTTCATATAAATGCATGTATTAGATTTATTTAAATCAGTGCCTGTGAATAATTATTTACATGTATTAATTTTCCCCATATACGGTCTTCTAATAAATTTCTACTTCTGAATCATTCAGGTTCCCTATTTCTACGCTCTATGAACCACTGGCAGGAGGAGGTATTCTCTTCACCCAAATCGCCTGGGGCTACAACCTACTCGGCAGCACTGTACGTTGTACGGCATTATTTTTTATACAGTGTGGATTTATTACGACAGACAGATTTCTTCATACCCCATGATCATGAAACACTGCTTTACATAAAACTCATAAATATAGGATTTAAGGGTAATTTAAAATGTTCCTTTCAGAGGAAAGCTTCATGTGGCTTTCCAGAGGTGGGTTTATCTTCTTTTTTTTCCCATTTTGTCTTCCTTTCATGTCCTATCAATCCTTCTCCTCCTGAATTCACTCATGAATTCTTAACAGCTCTGTGATGGGAGAGACCTTGGCATGAATGCTACACTACATTATGTTTGATCTTCAGTGTGACCCCAGCTCTAGTCGATTCAGTCGTTAATCTCTGCCAGTGTTGTTAATCTTTCCAGCTGCTTCCTGTCTTTGTGATGCCCTCCTGGCGCTGTGCAGCTGAAGGTTGTCATTGCTGGCTCATAGGTGTCCTAATCAGCATACAGCAGTGACTGCAGATGATTCTGAAGTGATCTCTTTAATGAGATTGTTGCTTGCTCAATGGCAGCAGAAGTCTACAGTGGGGACTAGTAATTACCTTGTGATGTATATTAACATATTGCTGGTAGGGACACTGGGTGAAATGACGACTGCTGACACACAACAAATTATTCAGACTAACACTGGCATATTGTTTTGATGTACACTAAAAGGAGACTAATGTCAAGAAGAAGGATAATACGCAGGCATTCTCTTCCGTGCCCATTTATCTGTGTCTTGACAGATGTATTATTTTTTAACTTTCCACTTTGAAAAATACTCTGGTAATGCAAGGCTAGTTATATAGCATGCCATGCACGGCATCACGGGGGGTATGGGAGGAGAAATCATGGAAAGAAATATTTTCCTGTTTTTTTTTTTTTTGAAACCTGCAATGGTATGTAGTTTTTTTTTCCTTTAGTAGCTTATGCATATATCATAATTCACAATTTGTTGTTTTTGTCAGGTACCCAGGTGATTCAAATTGCATCATGGATCTGGAAAGCTCTATATGAACATTGTTGATGCTTGAAAAAAAGGCAGCCAGCATCAAGTATAGATAAATAGAAGGCCCTGTCTGTCAAGAAGGACTTTAGTTCAGGCCAACAGCGCAATAATTAGCATTTGGGTTTTGCAGCCAGATCAATGATTTATTTATTTTTATTTTTTATTTGCATATTGAAAAAAAGTGTGCATTCCAATAATTCAAATCATTTTTGAACAAGTAAAATGGCACTGGATTTGACTGCATTTTACAGCTTGCCGGAGCTTGGTGCGGCTTTCCCTTCAAATCACCACTTGCTCATTTATGTAGCTCCATTCATGGTCTCCTTTTTATCATGCACGGTCTTTCATGCCACCAGAACCAAAGCCAACCAGACAGGCAGATGGAAAGGCAACACCTTCATTCAGTGTTCAGAAGTTCTTTTAAAATTTAAAAAAAAAAATGTTTTAATCTTTTCTGTTTGGTGGAACGGGGCAGCATAGTAAACGATTTCCAACCTGTTTGTATCTTAGTTATTTCTTACAAAGTTAAACAGCTAAAAGAAGAAAAAAATAAGAAGGCAATGCTTGTGGAATGTACAGTGCATATTGGGGGGGTGGAGGGTTTCATTAGGAATCAGACGCTTGTTTCTCTTGTTCAATTGTTTCTTTAGAAGGTAGGGTTTTTTTTCTCTCTTGTGTTTCTGTCTTCTTCAGCTTGGTCTTATCAAATTTCTCAATCTCAGCCATATCTGGTTTGTCAGACATTTAATAGGTTGATCAAGCTATGCAATGTACACACTAGAAGCAAAACTGGCCCTCCAAGGTGCAGCCTTCTGCTGAGTGCTTTAGTACACACAAGGAGGGACAATTTAATTCCTGGAATGCCTGTCGTGTAGCACTATGGTGGTGAGTTACACAGCCATTCACACGCGAGTAACTTGCGCTCTCCTGGGTCGCAGACCAGTTGACTTAGCCTTTGCAGGGTAGTAGAAGAAATAACACGAGTTGTCAGGGCACTGTCTGCGGCAGAGGGGATCGAAGACCTGCTATTCCTGCTAGTACTTTGCATGGACGCAAGAATGCACACAAGGACAGGCACCAATGTGCATTGGAGCAAACGTGTACACGGATCATCAGAACACACATGCGCACTGATGTACAGCTACACATGCCCCTAGCCCAGTTTGGCGCCAGACAGACTTTATATCTCCTAGATTGTAAGCTCGAAAGAGCAGGGCCCTTGATCCCCTCATGTTTTGCATTGTATTGGTATTGTTCTGTCACATGTTCTGTCTCCCTTTGTAATGTACAGCGCTGAGCGAACTATTGGCGCTTTATAAATACTGTATAATAATAATAATAATAATAATAAGGAAGCCAGTCACTCTCTGCAATTGCTGGTTAACCACCTGCCTTCCTGAGGATTTACCCCCCTTCCTGACCAGGCCATTTTTTGCGTTACAGCGCTGCGTTACTTTAACGACAATTGCGCGGTCATGCAACGCTGCACCCAAATTAAATTTACGTCCCTTTTTTCCCCACAAATTGAGCTCTCATTCAGTGGCATTTGATCGCCTGTGCGTTTTTTAATTTTTTTCCACTATAAAAAAAAATGACCAACAATTTTGAGAAAAAAAAAAAAAACAATATTTTTGCTATTAAACATGTCCAGTAAAAAAAATTAGAAAAATCAAATTTCGTCTTAATTTTAGACCAAAATGTATTTTGCTACATGTCTTTGCTAAAAAAATCCCAATATGTGTAAAAATAATTGTTTTATGTGAAAGTTATAGCGTTTACAAATGGCGGTGTATATATACTGGAATCTGGTTTTTTTTTGCTAGTAATGGCAGTGACTGTGGCGGACATTCTGACACTGGGGGGAACTGACTTGGTGTCACTGACATCCCCAGTGACACCAATACAGTGATCAGCTCTAAAAAGAAGGACTGACACTGTACTAATGGCACTGGGCAGGAAGAGGTTAACATGAGGGGTTAAGATGAGGGGTGTGTGGCGATTGGATGTGGACAACTATTTTGTTAAAGATCCACCATCTTGTATTATACTCTGCAAATATCATTCTCTCTCCCTCCAGCCCCCTCCCCTTGCAAGGAATGTGGTCTGTTTGTGTGCTGAGTTCAGGAGTGCACAGGGCACATGGCTGTAAACCCAATTAGCTGGTTCCATGATGTCTGTCAGACCCTTGCCTTGGCCTGGTCGTAAAGCTATAAATCAGTCCGTCACTGGACATGAAAAGCATTCCAGAATGGCAGTAAAACATACATCCCACTTGAAACCACTTTTTTCATACAAATTCATAAATCTTGACAGGAACAAGGTACAATAAAACAAAGCATATATTCAGATAGGTCAGTTTAATACGAGTCACCTGACACATTACACCCCTATGTGGCACCTACATGAGAGTAGAAAGCAATATGTCATTATCTGGAATGGTAAAATATGCCATATTTGATGTCTGGGCGTTCAGGATATCATTCTACATATTAATCTACCAGTGGCTAGGCTGCTACATGTACCTAGTGAAGGTTATTGACATGGTATAAACGTGGGAGGGATTTGGTCATAGCCTGAGTCCCCGCCTAGACACCCCTCCCCAAATGAGTCGATTGGTTCTCTGCATTAAGGAGACACCCTGCCGGGTTCCTAGAAAAAAAGACTGTTATGCCTGGGGAAGAAGATGAAGAGATTCTCCTTTTTAACATCAGGAACCATCTTTGGGAGAAAAGGCAACCCTTTTGTTCAGGACACTTGAACTCTGCTTAAACCAAGGACTTCTGCAGGTATCCTACCTTCTCAAACTTCTTTCTGTTATCTCTCTGTTGTGTTATTGCTCTCTCTATTTATATATATATATATATATATATATATATATATATATATATATTTGTTACATCTTTTTTGTAAATATTTTTATTGCACCATTTTGACCTTTTTAGTAATAAATTCTATTTTCTGAAAAGTGTTGAACTGTTTCTAAGCTATTTAATGCAAGCTAAGAGTCCCTGTCTCTGAAGAGTGCTACTGTGTGTTTTAAAACCCCTGGATACATTTGTCTGTAGTGACAGTGTGTATACAGACACCTATGCAAACATCACAGTGTTACTGCTAAGATTTGTGAGTTTCCTCCTTCTCTGTAAAAAGGTGGTGGTGGCAGTGTGAAGGGTTAATTGCGTAATTAACCTGACCCAGTAACAATCACTCTCAGGCTGTTGGCACATAGATTGTGGTCCAGTGAGCTGGAAAATCTTTGTGCGGTGTGCAGCTGAGAGTGGCATTGTTACGCAAGTGGCAGCGCGGTTTTAGATTGGATAGTCCTTCGGTCACAAGTTGGTGAGAAGGGCTGGGGTCTGACGCCGCGCCTATCACAGGGTGATCGAAGGGTTAACTGTGTGCAGGGAGTGTTTTACTAGGGGGCCATGTCAGTGTGCTTTACTGTAATCAAACTGCGCTGGATGACTGTGCTGTGCACAGCCATCCAGAGCAGTGTGCCCAAGCTGACAGGGAGTAGGACTGTTAGTAAAACAAAACTCACCGGGTGCTGGCGAGTAATTACCGACCGGTACCCGGTGATTGACAGCTGCGGCCCCCTACCCTGAAATGGAAAATCACATATACTGTATACATGTGAGTTTGCACACCCATGCTGCCCTGTAGCAGTATTTATGCTATAGGGCGGATGGGAAGCGGTTAATCTTTGGCTTGTCAGTACTTTTGTTCTTGTGTTCCCTTGCTTCTGTGAATTCCTGTTACCAACTTGGCTTGCCTCTGGACCTGTCTTCTGCCCGCCTCTTGACCTGACCCCAGCTTGTCTAATGGATTCTCCCACTCTGCTCTCCTATGTATGACCCTGGCTATCCTCCTAACTACGCTTGCTGCGATCCTCACCTGGCACTTGACCTTGGCTTTGAACCAACTTCACTCCTGTTCTCTGCTCTATTGAAGATCTGCTGCTCTTGTAGGTGCCACATGTCTGCAGACACCACTGCACTGCATCAGCTGTACTCCTGGGCTTTCCTCTGACAAGCATCCTAGTCAGATCAACTCTGCAAGCATTTCAGCAGGTGACCCGTGCAACTGTGGACCTGACTCCTTCTGTTCCATTTTCAGAGGAGTGTGGATCTTAGCCCTCTCTCCCTTGGTCTCCAGCACTAGGTATGTAATAGGAGTGTGCATTAACATCAAATTTAGTGTGAAAATTGGCAAAAGTGCAAGTGAAACTTTAGCTCTGTTACAACGGGTATATGGTGAACATTCCATGAAGAAATTTGAAAAGCATAGGCAGTTTAACCACTTCCCATATGGCGCATGTATATAAATGGCCGGACGGTGGCAGTGAAGGGGCGGGTGGCCATTTATAAATGACCTCTCCGCCCCCTGCTTGTGTGCGCTCCCTGGGACACAGTGCAACACCGATCGTTGTACGTCCTGAGGTCCCGATCATGTGATCACTGATTGGCCAATCAGTGATAACATGAACAGTAGTAAGCAAGATGTCACTTCTGACATCATTGCTTACTACGTGTGAAATCTGTGAATGATCACAGAGGTCACGTGGTACAAGGCTATTCACAACAGCCTTGTACCATGTGACAAGCTATGACCACTCACAGTTCACACAGTATTTCTCAATGGCTGCAAGAATGCAGCCAGAGAGAAGGAGAAAAGGAGAAATGATTGCTTTTACAGTCTTTATGGGTTAAAAGCAATCAGTGTAAAAAAAAAAAAAAATCTTCAGAACCCCCCACAAGTAGTACAGTATCACCAAGGTGACACTGTACTGCTAGGGTGACAGTATGTAACAAAAAAAAAAAACATAAATAATAATATAAAAAAAAAAAAATGTAAAAAAAATTTAAAAAAATTAAACTTTTTGATTATAAACTAATTTGGGTTATTTTTTTAAATAAAAATCCCAGTGGTGAATAAATACCACCAAAATAAAGCTTTATCTGTCTCAAAAACATTTATATGAGTACAGTGTTGCATGACCGCGCAATTGTCATTTCGAAGTGTGATAGCGCTGAAAGCTGAAAATTGGCCTGGACAGGAAGGGGGTAAAAGTGCCCGGACTTGAAGTGGTTAAGGAGGGGTGGGGAAGATGTCCATGATAACACAAGAAGTGGGCAGCCAAAAACGCAAAGGACGGATGCAAATATAGACAGATTGTAAACCCTCATACACTCAGATCTAAGAATTGACCGTGAACAGGGAAACAGTGCGACAGATTTTAACGGAGAAATTAAAAAGATTTCCGCAAAGATGGTACCTTGAATCTTGAGAGAAGATCAGAAAGAAAGTCATCTTCAAATTTCACCTGATCTTTTGAAGAAAGCAGAAGTGTTTGACTTTTTTTTTGCAGTCCATTCCTGGAATTAAATTGTCACACCTCGTATATTCTTTCATTATTTATTTTGGTCAGAACTTTAAGGCCTCGTTCTCACCATGGTGCAGAGATGTCAGTTTTTTTATGCACACGTTCTGCAAGGGCACAAAAAAAAACAATTTTTCTCTATGTGCTCTGTCCACACCTCAGCACTAGCATCATGTGCAGATTTTTTCTGCGCATGAATCTGCAACGTGTATAAAAATATTTAATTGAATCACGCATGAAATCTGATGTAAATTGATGTCTCTGCAAGTGATAAATGTGGTCTGTAACCATCAGTTTTTTTTTGCACGTATGGTGTGATTGAGGCCTAAGATGTCCTCTTTTCAAGCAGTGGTAAATGACCGCTGCT